AAAATCATTTTAACATAGTTTAGTAACCCATGTTATACTTTACCCTTAAAATTAATAAAAAGGAATGTGTTATAAATCTTGATTAATCCAAGATTTATTAAAATAAAATAAATATTTACGATAAATGTGATATGACTTTGACTAGTTCCCCAAGCCACATCATTCTTGTGTTGTTTTAATCAAAATCAAACAAGTTCAGCAGCTTCTATTTTCTATATAATTTGTCATTAATTTTTTTAAAAAAAGTAATAGTTTAATTCAGTCAATAATGTAAAAATTGATGATAGGAGATGAAATTATAAATAAAGCTTGACTGAAAATCATTGAGATTCAACGTGGCGATCTTCGTGCCGACCTAGTTATAATGTGGAAAACTTATGGTTATTGAATTACATGTTTTAATTAAAGAAGAAAGATAGCTGACTTTGAGAAATTAAATTATTATCATTAGGGGAAAATGTTAGGTTGAAATTCTGGGTGATCAAGATAAACGTTTGCTTAGAAGAAAGAAAAAGACAAAAAAAAATCATAATCAAATTCACTGATAAAATGGATTCAACAATTCATCTTAATTTGGTGATACAAAAATGGATTAAGTTAATTAATTTAATTATAAATTTTATTAACTAAACAACACTCAATTTGATCATAAAAATAGATTTAACCAAACCAATAAAGTAAAAAAGAAACTGTTTTTCGATTAAGCCGAGGTGAATATAAAGTAGTATATGTTATAAATACTCTCAACCATTGAACAATGAACGTTCAGTTACCTCTTGTTATAGTTGTTGGTACTTAAACCCGTAATCTCTAAAAATAACAACAATTCATTTAATCACTAAATTAGTTTGGTTCGTGGGTAAAGTGGGAAAAAAATAATTAAGCTGACTTGGCCGAATTTTACACAGTAACGTGAAAAAGGGTAAATAGTGCAACTCTTCTCCCAATCCCAATCCCAATTTGTGGCAGATTAAATAACCAAATTCAATTAAAAACCTAAGCCTACATAGTAAATTACGGTCCAAAGATGATAGGTTTGCCGACTTTCTTAGGCTATATGTGAAAGAAATGACCAAAATTCAACAATAAAACCTAAGCCTAAGTTTGTAATTTACATTCCTAAGATCATACATAGATTTGCCAAATTTCTTAATCTATTTTTGAAAATCATGTGATTATATGATAATTATAATTATATGGATTGGCTTGACAGCTATACCATTTGACAAAAAAACAATTATTCCATATTTCTCAGAGTTGTCATTCGATTTCAAGGATTGATAAAAACAAAAATTAGTTATTAATTATCATAAGTTCATTTGGAAAAAAATGTTGGTTCAAATCAATATTTTCTTCTATCCCCACCCTATCTTGCAAGTTGGCTTCTTATTTTCTTCATTGTTGATTTTTTTAATAATTATACATTTATAAATTGAGTTTTCTCTTCTAGGGTGGTTCCATTCTATTATGAAAAATGAATATTGTTTTACAAAAAGATTTGTAATTCACAAATAATTGGGGATTATGACTTGTTCTAGTGTAAAAATTAACTAAAATTTTGAAATAGAAAAAGAAACTGTAGATATTGAGAATTTCTTTTATTTTATTGATGATCAACGCACGAACGAAATGGTCTCGGTGGTAAATGAATTGTTGTTATTTCTTAAGATCTCGAATTCAAGCACCAAGAATGTCAGAGAATTGATCATTTAATGTCAAATGATTGAGAGTTATCTTTGAAAAAATATCTTATATTTATCCTAAATCAGTTGGGGGGAAAAGGGGGGAAGTCTCACGTGCGGTAGTCTAATATACGGCTAAGAAAGACGCTACCGAAAATGTTATTATTTTTTAACATTTCCGGTAAAAAATTACCTAAAACATTATTATTTCTACAGGAAATGTTATTATTGGGCGCTTTACCGGGTTTATTAGCATATCTTGTAAAGCGCTACCTAAAACATTATTTTTTACCGGAAATGTTAATATTGAGCACTTTATTAAAAACATTAATATTTTAGGTTAAAAAAAATAATGTTTTAGGTAATTTTTACCGGAAATATAAAAATAATAATAAAATTTCCGATAAGTCTTTCCCTAATCGTATATTAAGGCTACCGTACGATAGAATTTCTAAAAAAAAAAAAGGAATGCAAAGAATATTTCAATTTTAGCTTTCACAGTTTCGACTTTTCAATCCGCTAAAAACGCACCGTTTTATGTTTTTCGTATTATTGGAACCATTTTGCTCTGTTCTGTTGTCTTTCGGCCTTTAGCTTTTCTATTTCCCGACATATTAAATGGGCCGTTTGAAAATTTAAATGTTATTAATTATTTTTATTTGTTATTATTTGATTTACCATTGTATGAATTAATTTATCCTCCTTTTACGGTTTTCATTCTATATTTATATTTTATTTTTTGTATAATTTATTTTTATCCTCTCGATTCCAGGGCTTAATCTTAAATAATCCAGACCGACCCGTATCACACACATGATTTTGGTAATCGAGTCTCCCATAATTTTTTTTTTGCATATACAAGAAGTCAAAAACTCAAACTCGAGACCTATTTAAACGATATCAAATTGCTTACCACTTAAATTAGTATTTTTCTATATTTTATCCTAATAAAGACAACTAACACCAAATATAATACGTAACCATATAGTGTTTTTTTTATTAAACGTAATCGTATAGTTAAGAATATTTTCGTAATTAAATGTAATATCATATAAGGTAATAATATTATTTAGTATTACGGGTATATTTCACTCTACATTTGGTATGTTTATTTAAAAAGAAAATAACATCAGTGACCAAAAATGTCTTATATTTTAATTAATTTTTTTTGGATTTGTCAAAATGACCAACTAAATCGCAACGCGATCTCCGGTATCGCAAATCAGTTTTCAGATTCGCAACGCGAACTTCGACTATCGCATTGTGATTTACATATTCGCACTGCGATAGTCCAAGTTCGCGTTGCGATTTATTCCAAATTCGTTGCGATAGTCCAAAATCGCAACGACTGGTGGTATTGCATTTGTTTCTTAAGAATTTTCTTTAAAAATATAGTATTCGCGCGGACGTGTCGAAGACACGTATGAACACGACCACGACCACGACCCGAGACGAGACGAGACGAGACGGCGGCCACGACCACGACCGAGACGGCGGCGGCGGCGGCGCGCGAGAGTCCCTCTTGTTCTCTATCACTCAACAATGAAATGGGAAAGCCAAGCCTTAAATATCATTCCCAATAGTGTTTCCAATACTATGTGGGATTGAGCATTACCAACACTTGTTCCCAATACTATGTGGGATTGAGCCTTAAATAGTGATATTATTTTTGAATGTTTTGCTTAAATTTGCAATAATCGCGATTGATTGTAGATTGACTTTTAATTATGACATATTTAATCGTATAATACTAATACAATTGGTTGCTGATTCAGTTGTTTTAAGGTGCATGATTGTTAATTGTTTCCTGAATAATCACATTGTATTGGAAACAAGTGTTGGTAATACTCAATCCCATATAGTATTGGAAACACTATTGGGAATGGTATTTAAGACTTGGTTTTCCCACTTCCTTGTTGAGTGATAGAGAACAAAGGGGACTCTCGCACTCCGCCGTCGCCGCCGCCCGTCTCGTCTCGTCTCGTGGTCGTGGTCGTGGTAATATGTGTCTTCGACACGTCCGCGCGAATTATCGATCACATTGCGATTTAGTTGGTCATTTTGGTAAATCCAAAAAAAGTTGGTTAAAATCGTATATTATAAGGCATTTTTTGTCACTGAGATTATTTTCTCTTATTTAAAATGTAGAGTTTTGTTGTTCAATTGAGAATGGGTAAGATTATTTTTATTATTTGAACATGGTCATTTTTATAATAAGACTAAGTATTTTCAACACATCATTTCTCAAGTAATAGCGAAGGCCGGGGCATGTCCCCTAAAAAAAACTCTTGTTTATTTTTTTTTTAAATTCAGAAAAGAAAAGTAAAATTCAAATACGTTAAGGTTAAGGAAAATAGAAGAAAAGAAACAACATCCAATGGGATCTCCATTTGCCTTTCCTCTGTTGAAGTAATACCAGCTAGGCAGCTAGCATATCAAAACACCGCATCCTTGATAAATATGAGATTTCTCATAGTTTAAACGTCGTGAAGAAGATTAAATATTAATCTGAAGGTAATCGTATTTGAATTTTAAATTTTTGTTTGAAATCAAATCAAATTTATTTAATCGATAGATTAAATGAGTAATATCGACATAATCATGAATTATCATATGATCTAAGAAGAAAAAATAAAATATGTTACCGAGCATGAACGTCAATAATAGCCAACAAAGCACCTAAAAGTGTAACGGATAAAACTTTATGTATATATTTTTAACGAAAAATTCGTTAGGCGCTTAAAGTTAATTTTAAGTATAGTTTAGTCACTTATTTTTATATTAAGCTTAATCTATAGTGATTACGATGTAGTATTTGTTCTAAAGATTTTCAATAATTTGATAACGAAAGCTCATCACCTTGCAGTATCTGGTACTTGAATCTGAGACATCCAGGGATAATATTAAAGTCTTAGATTTAAATATTTACATTCGAGTTTAGTCTAAATATAATGTGTGAATTGTCCATTTCAGATTAAATATATTTTAATTTAAATTGTATTATATATGAACTTTTAAATAATAATTTTTAATTTTAATATCAAATTATTGAGAGTTACCTTTCAACAAATATTATTTTATATTTACCTCATATTAATAAAAAAATAATTATTTGAATCTTAAAAATAAAAAGGAATACACTCAATCTATTTAGGCCCAAATATGAAGTAAATGACTTAATGATAATCCTTACGCCCTTAGCATTCATGGTGTTTGAACTCAAGACCTCACAAAATAATAACAATTTTTTTACTATCGAGGTCATTTGATTCACGTTAATGTAATATTTATTAGCTTAGAATTAAATGATTTTGAAAGGAAAAAAAAAACTATTTTCATCAAATGAAATATATTTTTCTTTTACAAATCAAACAAATTCAACAACTAATAAATAAGTGAATAAATAATGAATTTATTTCATCTAAGCATAATTGCACAAACCAAAGACACAAAACTCTCCATTGCCGCACCTATTGTTGCATCCACCGCAATGTCTGGCGTTGAGAGATGGATTAACACATTTTCCCTCGCAGCATATCTCATTGTACTTGCATTTCTTCCCACACTTGCCACAGTTTTGCCTATCTTTTAATACGTTCACACATTTTTTCTTGCAGCATGTAGGTCCAGGGCTCCCCTTTGCACCACAAATCGTAGGGAACTTGTTGCAAGTAACCCTACGACTTCGTTTCCGTTGCAACAGAGAACGATGACCTTCGGCCGAAGAGTACTCGGATGAATCCATTGCTACATTACTATGATCTTCATGATCTGCTGAATAATTCTCACTACTCTCCTGTTGTGATGCTGCTGAGATGCTTAGGACTAGAATCATGATGATAATCGACACGGAAACGAACTTTCTGAACTTCATAGGGATTGTTTGTAATAAAATGGAGAAACCAGAGGTGGTGAACACTTGGAGAGAACTGAAAATAGACGTTTGGGATGAAGAATTTGGTGTCAAAGGAGGGTATTTATAGGGAGAACTATGAAATGTAGGGCATTGTACTTTGAACTTTTTGCTCTTAGTGGGAGGGTCAGCCCTTCACATAGAATAATAAACTAGCAAAGACCAAGTTCATAAAAGGTACCATATTCACATTCCTCAGATTCAAATAGTAAACAAATATGTAATATCAGATACGCGTAGGAAAGGTTGGAAAGCACCTATAGAGTTGCAGATTCATTTTTTGTTCATTTTTTCAGTCAAATTTTGACGACTTTACAAGTCCGCTAGCTGAATTAGTGAAAAAAACAGATATTTTTGAGCTGAAAGGTCAAATTTTCCCTACAATTAGGCAAATTTAGGGTCAGAAAAAGACACCCTTACGGATTTGGCAAGTTTGCAATAGTGTTGTTGTATGTTGAAGATGATGAAATGTACATTCATGGATTAAAGGGAATTGAGGTTTCAAGAATATGCTTATCTTCAACAAGGGTCTTCTTAAATCTATCTAAATTGATCTTTACATCTTGGCCATCAACATACACAGACCTGAATGCACGATATCCCTTTGACATTATAGATTCCGGATCACTAACAACAGGGTGATATTTACCGTAACGATCGAACAACGAACTTTCCTCCGGTTCTATCTTGTACTCCAAGTATCGAACCCCCATCGACTTTGCCGGTCCACCGTAATTGGAAATTGCCCCCCAATCACATCCCAGTGGCAACACTTGAATCATGACTGCACCATTGGGCAAGAATATCTCATTTGTTAGCCCTGCACCATGGGCTCCAACCATGAGACAGCATGAGTTCACCAGCACGGAGAACTCGTTCAAGTACATCCTCTCAGGTTCCACCCTTGTGACTTGAAAGCCTAGTCCCTCCATCATCTCGATCATTCCATGTTCGTTCAGAAACCGTCTCGTATTCTGTCGCGATATAAGCATCAACACCGGCTTTCGAAGCTCGGACACGTGATTCGTTTGCAGGTTATATGATTCTCTCAAGAACTTCCTGAAATTGTACATGGAATAACCCCCTGGACTATCAGAAACGTTGAGGGCTAGATTTTCATGATATTAAAGCCCTATAACAGCCCCTGGAAAACAATGAACGCTCCCATCTTCAGGATTTATAACATCATAACCAGACAATCGGGAGATAACCTTGCTGTACTTTTCAACCACCCAAAGCTCAAAATCGGTGACGACGAACTTCACTCGAGACCGAAAATGGCGGGTGGTGATGAACAAAGGGATTATAATCTCATTGAACTCGTGAAAAACATTGCCCGTGAAGCCTAGAGAAGACAACAGCTGTTACGTTATGGGTGAAATTGCGGGCTGGTGGTGGATTAATGGCGCCGTCCCAAAGAAGAATCTCGACCGGCGAGACGCTCTTCATGGCGGTTTCGTCTTCCTTCCTTGCGTACGGCCTGACAACTCTCTAGACTTGAGGTTGATGATCATGCGGCGCATAAACTGTTAACCCTTTGTTGTAAATCCTCACAGGTTTATTTGCAACGCATAGATCGTAATGATAATCGGTGTGGCATGAAAATCCATTGGAATCGAACTGAACACGATCATCTCCTGTTCCATTCAATGCAATAGATAAAGAATCTATATTTAATGTGTTTAAATTGTGCTCGGAATTTGGTTTCGACTTGAAATAAAATATTAGAATCGTCTGGATCGGATACCATCTTACCTGATCTGTATTTTATCAGCACCCTTGAACCGCCCTTTTAATACTAATTAATTTATTGGTTGTCTTTAGTTGCGAAAATTTGAAATTTAAATTAAAAATTTAAAAACTCGATTCAAATTACTTACCTCTTATTGGTTAGAATTTCTAAAAAATTGTCGAAAATATTAGTCAAGAAATAATAAATAAATGTTAAATAAATCAAAGGTCAAAAAATTAAATTTAAAAAATACTAAAATAAAAACAATATGAAATAAAAAGAAATAATAACGATTTTTAAAAATAAATAAATATGGAATAAAAAAATTTAAGGGACTAAAATATAAAAAATAAATATATAAATGACTAAAATGAAACACATGTATAATATAGTGCCAAACTTAAAAGAAAAGTAAAGCTAACATGTGATTAATATAAAGTCAAGTACCAAGAAGATAATTTGCCTCAAAAATTAAAAGCAAACAACCCCACTCATGTCCAGTAGCCTTACGAACCAAACAAATCAAATTGCAAAATGAAAGGTTGGCACATTAGCCAAATCATTCGAGACCTGATCTTTTGAAACAGCAAAGCCAAACCCACCAAGCTTCCAAGCTCCATACGAAGTGAAACTCCATGTGCATTGTTATGAAGAAAATCCAAGGTTTCTGCAACCTGAAGCAAACCATGCTTCACCTCCAACAAACCCATTTCATGTTGGTTCCAACGAGAGGGGTGAGGAGAAGAGTAGCACTGATCCAATTCTCAAAGACCTTGTGGGAGATCAGGCCCGGTAGATCCTTCCACCGCCCACTCATTATCTTCTGCTGGAACGGAGACAACGCGTATATCACCGCCCTCATCTTCACCGGCTGTTTCAAGGTGTTGCCTTGTCGGGTTTGCGCATGAACATACCTGGGAACATCGCTGCTTCTGTTTGTGTTCCGTTGTAATCTTCGATTCGAGTGGTCGATGGAAAGAAAGAGAGAGAGAGGTTTCGTATGAAGGCGGAAGAGAGGTGGTAGTAAAAAGCCAAGAACCTTTGGTCCCCCCTTGAAGAAGCATGTAAAGCTTTGATTCGTAGAGAAGTTGGGGACGCTCGGTCTTGATAGATTCCAGCTTAGCAGCCACTTCCTCTCAATTTTGTACATTAACGGCTAAATAAAGTTCACCAAAAGATCCACTCCCAATCTTTCGACCAAGCTTGAATTTTCCACCAACAATATGTTCCATGATCTAACCGATTACTGATTACTCAGTGAGCCGAAACACGCGTTTTGGGATCTTCAAGTTGCATTTACTAGGTGGGAAAAAAGTAAAGAGAAAAGGTTTCGTCCCCCTTAGTTGTTGCATCGTTGCACCATTTATAGGAGCTAGAGGAGGAGGAAGTAGGAGCGAAATTCGGGGGGGGTGTTGAGTGTGGAGTTGTGGTTATGGACGTTGTGGGAGACTGGGAGTAGTGGATGGAAGGGGAAAGGAATAGAGGTTCCTTTGTTTTTGGGTAATTTGTTAAAAATAGGGGATGAATATGGGGCTTACAAAAAAATAATAATAATAATAAAATATAATATAATTTTTTGTAGATTCGAACAAAAATGAGTATCTAAATTCTGAAAAAAAATAATGGAAGAGATGAACCTCTAACAAGCCTTCTTAATAGAAATTCTTGGGAATCAAGTGCATCGAGATTGATCATTTCACTGCTGAGATTGCTTCTTGAATTTGATAACCTGTATCCCCCTTCATTTCCCCGGATTTATGTCAGCCAAATCTTTTATATGAACAAAACTAGTAAAATGTTCGAATTGCTAAGGAAGATGATTACTTGATTCGAATATGGTGTCATTAGATCGAAAAAATGTAGCATAAACCAGAACAATTAACTCTAAACAGATGGCTGAAGTTGTAAAATTCACCAGCCTTCTTGGTTCCTTCTCCATCTCCTTTCAATCTGCTTAGGGGAAAAGGACCCTACAACCAAAACTGAAAATGGATAATTTTTCATATTGTTAACCTCTAATCATCATATAATAATATTTTGCATTTGATGATTTTTTTTTTCATTTTTTTGCTCATTAAAATTAAATTTATTAATAATAACTGAAATCGTAGAGGACGGACGATTAAAGCCAAATTTAGCCAACCGTTAGCCTTCCTGCATAGATGAACAAAGGATACAAATATACGCGTTATATAAACCATAGCATATAATTGTAATTTCAACATATTAACATAAATATTTTTCAATGAAATGAATTTCACAAGCTGTATCTTGAAGATGATCAAATGTACATTTATAGATTAAAGGGGGATGAGGTTTGAAGAATTTGCATAGCTTCAACAAGGGTCTTCTTAAATCTTTCTATTTTGATCTTAAAATCTTGGCCATCAACATACACCTTCCTGTATTCATAATATCCCTTAGAGGTCACAGATTCTGGATCAGTGACCACGGGGTGATCCTTTCCGTAACTGTCGAACAACGAACTCTCCTCTGGTTCGATCTTGTACTCCAAGTACCGAACCCCCATCGGCTTCCCTGGTGCACCATAGAGGTTGGTTGCCACCCAATCATGTGCCAATCCCACCACTTGAACCATAAGTGCACCATTGGGCAAGAATATCTCATTTGTTAGCCCTGCACCATGGGCTCCAACCATGACACTACATGAGTTCACCACCTCGGCAAACTCGTCCAAGTTCGACGTCCTCTCCGGCTCCACCGTTGTGACTTGAAAGCCTACGCCCTCCATCATCTCCACTATCTCGTCTTCGTTCAGAAACCGCCTCGTGTTGCGGCGCGATATCAGCATCAAGACCGGCTTCCGAATCTCGGACACATGGTTCGTTTTCAGATTATATGATTGCTTCAAGAACTGCCTGAAATCAAACATGGAATAACCCCCTGGAATATCAGTAATGTTGAGTGCTAGATGGTCATGATATTTAAGCCCTATAACCGCCCCTGGGAAGCAATGAACACTGCCATCATCAGGGTTTATAACGTCATAATCAGACAAGTGAGAGAGGACCCTTTTGTACTTTTGGACCCACCAATGCTGGTAATCCGTGATTAAAAACATAACTCTCGATCGAAAATGGCGGGTGGTGATGAACAGAGGGATGATAATCTCATTGAACTCGTGAAAAACATTGCCGGCGAAGCCTCTTGAAGAGAAAACAACCGCCGTGACATTGTGGGTGAAATTGCAGGCCGGTGGTGGATCAATGGCGGCGTTGTTGTTCACATGAAGAATCTGAACCGGTGAGACAACTCTCATGGCGGTTTCGTCTTGCTGCCTTGCATATGGCTTGACAATTCTCTTGACTTGAGGTTGATGATGATCAATCGGAACATGAACTGTCAGCCCTTTGTTGTAAATCCTTACTGGTTTATTTTCAATGCATACTTCTGAATGAACATCAACGTGACATGAAAATCCACTGGAATCAAACTCGACTCGATCATCTCCTGTTTCATAATCAACACACCATTTGATTGTGAATTCTGCATTTAATCTATTCTAAAAAAATTAAAGAGATAAAGAGATGAACCTCTAACAAGCCTCCTTAATAGAAATTCTTGAGGAACATCAGCATCAACATCGATCCTTGACTTTGGTAAACTGTATCCCCCTTCATTTCCATGGAGTTTCAAGTCAGTCAAGTTTTTATATATATGACAAAAGAAGGGGGGGAAAACAGAAAAATTGTTGAATTGCTAAGAAAGATGATTACAAGAATCAAATACGGTGTCGTTAGATTGAAAAAGTGTGGCATAAACCAGAAAGAATAGCATTGAACAGATAGCTAAAGTTGCACAATTCAGCAGCCTAAGCCTTGGTGGTTCCTTCATCTTCTTTCAACCTGCAAATGACCTTGAAAAATCTAACCTAAATATAGAGAAAAAAGAATATTTTTTTTGTTTTATTCTTCGTATTGTTAACCTCCACCATCATTATTACATTATGATTTTGGGTTTCTTCCGAGGGCGGCTTATTGCTTAACCACTGACAGGGAAACTTCATCTGCATTGCTGAATTATATTGTTTCAAGTACAAATAATTGCATAACTATACTTGTATTTTTATGTATGGTCGTTGGTGCTTCATTCTCATTTATCTTCTTGATTCTTTGATTGTGATTTTTAGGTATATTTTATGTTTTTTCTTCTTAATTAGCTCTCATGTCGGGAATCCCACACTCTTTAAAATAATTATTTATTATATATATTCTTGAAAAAAATATTTACTATATATATACTTGAAAGAAAAATAATTGTTAAACATTTTTTTAATGTTTAAAGTATTATGAAGTTAAACATTTTTTTGTTAATAATCGTTAATGATGGATTTAAGTTGAACATGCCACTTGTGCTTTGTTTACATTAGTTTTGGTATCGAATTTGTGTTAATCATGTATTTAATCAAAATACTATAAATAAAAGTAAGTTTAATTGTAATTTAAAATATATATATTATTTTGTTTAAAATTACAACAAGATTTTATGCACAATGGTTAAATCATAAACTTTTCTTCCGAGGACTTGGGTTCAAACTCTCTTACACATATTATTTGATTTTTATCCTTAATTTTCTTCGTCAAAACGACATGATTTCAATGTGACATCCACGTTGGCAACCGTCAGTCAAAACATCACGTTGTTATCGAATAAATAGTTCAACAATGACTTTTGTTTAGATTAAAAAACCCATTTCATCCCCGAGGAAGATATTCTTTCACGAAAAATAATTATTAGAAGTCATGTTATCGTATTGGGCTAATTTGTTTTTGCCAGCTTGCCGTATTGGGTCAAATTTGCGGCTATCGGCTTGATTCAATTATGGGCCTGATGATTGCCTCATGATGTTGCCAATTGAAACCCAATGCATCTTTTTGTTGGGCCCTGATAAGATAACTTTCTCCCAACTCCCAAACGTTTCTTTTGGGCCTTTAGACATCCAACATTGCGTAACTAAAGGCTAAAAATTAGAGACGATAATTTAACCTGAATTTGATGGATTTCAAGTTGATCTAATTTGATAGTTTGCATTTTTTTTATAAAAAAAATGAATCCGGGTCCAAATCGGACCAGATTTTTTTAGGGACAAGGTCGGGTCGAGTAGGATTCGGGTGGATGGTGAAAAACTACTCAATCCGATCCAAAGAAAATAATGTAATTTTCTTTAAAAAATATTCTTATTTTTAATAAAATCCTTGTTTTTTTATCAGATCGGTCGGATTTATACTCTAAAAATTCAGATCGAGTTTAAGTCGGATGGATGATATATATTTTCAGGTCGGGTGGAGGATATAAAATTTTCAAGTAAGATAAAATTCGAATAGATGATACATATTTTTGAATCGAATCAATTTGACAAAAAGAAATCTAAGTCTCACCTGATCCATTGCCGTCCCTACTCAAGCCACTCTCTCTTTAGAAATTATAACCTTCGTTTTCTCTTCAAGGGCTACAGCTTGCTTGCGAAAATGAGAGGAAATTTCCAATGCCACTGTCATGGGGTTTGGAAATTTCTTAAAGAAAAAGGAAAATGTACGAAATAGGTTTTCTTTTTCACCCATCATCAGTTAAAAGTTAAAAGTTAAAACAATAATTTAATTTCACCCACCTTCTTTGACGCCAGAAAAAATGGTTAATCATTGATGTTATATGATTGCGAAATTTCTGATAAATAAATAATTACATAAACATCTATCTTATGGAATTTATTATTTTTCAAATTGAAAAATATAATGAAATACCAAACTGGTAAAGAAAATATGAACCATTCCATGAAAAGTATATTTTATATTTAAAATAAAGTATTATTTTATATATATATATATATATGCTTACACATATAAGAAGCGTAAATATTTCAAATAATTCTTTGGGAGGGACCAAAGAATTACATATGTGAACAATGTTTCGCTTTATATTATATGAAATATTATTTTTAGGTAAATAAATTATTATTAAATTATTTAAATTACATGGAATTGTAGTTGGACAAATAGAAAGTTTTTGGTTGATGATTAAGCACTTTGTGGAGGAAATAATAATTAAATAGAAAGATTACTTTTTGTGGGATTGTCCACCGTAGAACTCGATCCCACGATCACAAAATTAAGAGACTTACGCTGTATCAATTGAGCTGGACGGACAATTCTTTGAATCTTTTCTTAACTCCTTTAACATCACGTTTTTCTTAAATAATAATTTTAACCAAGTAAACAAATCCAATTCTTTTCTTCGAGGAGCCAACCAGGCCAGACGCACCGGAGCACCTATCCTTCCGTTCCATCCTTACGCCCACACTGGGTTGCAACTCCAGGAGCTTACCATCTCCAGCCACCGCCTATTACATTCCCCCCTTCGAGTCTCCCAATGTACGGATGGAGTAGAAAAAATAAAATCAACATCAAGAGAAACACGGTCACTCTTTTTAATTTTATTACCTATTAATCTTTTAATATTTTCGATTGTTATTTTTTTATAACATTTATATTAAAATTAAAAATGTTAAAAAATTAATATTTTAAGTAACAAAATTAATATTTTAAATATTAAAATAAAATTATTTATTTCCACTTTTCTTTAGACTGACACTCCTTATGCATTCCCTCTCTCTCCCCCTTTCATTTTCGTGTTTCTGTGTCGTCTTTGAGCCCACTAAAAAAGGCCGACTCTGAAGGAAGCACACACAGGTGCCACAAACTCTACTGTATACCTTCGATACTTCCAAAAAAGCTACCTTCTCCTTCACTCCCCTCTTATCTATTTATCTCCTTTTTCTTCTCCTCCTTCCTTTCCTCACCAAGAAAATCAGGGGGTAAAAAGGCTTTTCACTTTGGGTTTTTCTTTCTGTATTTCATCGGCAACTTTGAAGCTAAATTGGTTGGGTGTTGGGTTAAATTAGTTTGCCGGTGTTTTTGAATCGTGGGGTTTTCGTTTCTTCGGGGGTAATACCCTGGTTAGACAAATTGTGGACATCACGGCTATATACAGAGTTTACCGGCCTCTTATCCATGCCCGTTCTGTTCGACGTAAGAGTTGTGTAACAGAGAGCAACCCTTCGCCGAACGGTGGGCGTGGAGCTTTGCCTTCTGAAGGCGGCAGTCCTTCCGATCTCCTATTCCTTGCTGGTGGTGGTCTTGTCTTTTAGAGTTTCAGTAGTTAGTATTAACTTAGCTTTAATCTATTAAGAGAAAAAAGAAAAGAAAAGAAAATTATTATCGAAGAAGCTTATTTAGATCGCTCGTAAGAAAGTAGTAGGAAGATGATGCTCAGGATTAAGAGGGTTCCCACTGTTGTTTCGAATCACCAGAAGGATGAGACGGAAGAGACTGCTCGCAGTAACGGCGGATGTGGAAAGAACTGCCTTAGAAGCTGCTGCATTCCAGGTATTCGTTAAATTTACTCTGTGACCTTATTTGTTTGAAGAAATGAGGTTTAACTGGAACTGGGTTTTGGTTTATAGGAGCAAGGCTTCCTTTATATGCTTTCAAGAAGCTGAATAAGATTGATGGTGAAGAAGATATGCTTGGAATTGAGGACAACGAGCCCCCTGTTGCTTTTCTCGACTCGCTCATTCTTGGGGAGGTAAATTTTGCTATTAAAAATAAGATTAAGATCATTGCGATGGCTGGTAATCGTTGTATTATACAAACAGTGAGGCTAAAAGGTGCTTTTATGGTTTTATGGTAGTGGGAAGATCGCATGCAAAGAGGGCTCTTTCGCTATGATGTTACTGCCTGCGAAACTAAGGTCTAATTTCTGCTTCTTTCCTCTTTCCTTGCTTCGATTGTTTACCTGCAAATAAGCTGAAATTTTATGGTTATTTGGACCATGAAAATATTCTATGTTATCATTGTTTAGGTGATTCCTGGTGAATATGGCTTCATTGCCCAGCTAAATGAGGGCCGCCACCTGAAGAAGAGGCCAACGGAATTCCGTGTTGATAAGGTTCTCCAACCCTTTGATGGGAACAAGTTCAACTTCACCAAGGTCGGGCAAGAAGAGGTTCTCTTCCAGTTCGAGGCAAGTGAAGATGGTGAAGTTCAGTTCCACCCAAGTGCTCCCATCGATGTTGAGAATGCTTCAAGTGTTGTTGCCATAAATGTATGCTAGTTCTACTTATTCAGAGTATAGAATAATAAACAGAGCAAGAGTGTTAGGCTCATAAGAATTAACATTGTTTGCGTACAATTTCACAGGTCAGTCCTATTGAATACGGACATGTGCTGTTGATCCCTCGAATCCTGGAGTGCTTGCCCCAGAGGATTGATCGTGAGAGCTTCTTGCTTGCACTGTATATGGCAGTTGAAGCCGGGAATCCATATTTCAGATTGGGTTACAACAGCTTGGGTGCATTTGCTACAATCAACCACCTTCACTTTCAGGTACTGACATCCCAGTTTCGTGCGTTATGTACTTTGTGCCACCAGGACATATCTATCTGTTAGATGAAGTTATGGTTTAGGTTACTTAACTATTCCGATCACTGCAGGCTTACTACTTGGCTGTGCCCTTTCCCATTGAGAAAGCTCCCACGAAGAAGATAACCACTTTGAAGGATGAAGTGATCATCTCAGAGCTTTTAAACTATCCGGTCAGGGGTCTTGTCTTTGAGGGTGGTTACACTCTTCAGAACTTGTCCGACACTGTCTCTGATGCCTGCATTTGCCTTCAAGAGAACAACATACCATGTAATGTTCTCATCTCTGATTGTGGAAAGCGGATCTTTCTCCTTCCACAGGTATAAACTAAGTCTAATTAACACTTTTATTACCTGCATGATGCTGCTAGTTCTTACAATTGACTTTGGAATTTGTCAATTGAACCAACAGTGCTAT